TATTTTATTCTGTATTAATTATAATTGTGGCATCCCTCAACAGCACTCCCACACACACACACACACACACACACAGAATTGTATGCTTTGTATAAGCTAAGAACATGTCTCAATAATCTATCTATCCCAATGCCTACAATAGTGCTTTACATATTATGAATACTTTAAAAATGGTGACTGAATTTTAAAAAATGAATGAATGAAACACCTGAACAACCATGCAAAGATGAAAGGGTAATATCCACTAATTTTAGGGAAAATTTATATCTCTATAATTTCTTACAACGATAGGAACAAAATACAAGCTATTAAAACTTGATCTGCAACAAATACTAAAAAAAATTTTCAAGCAATCTGGGAATTAAAACTGTTTTTTATTATCAAGTCAACAATGGAAATATACAACAATGATGACTTATTACAATGACTTTTTTTGCAAGTTATGTGGGGATCTTAATGGCAAGACATTTGATTCTGTTGCTATAAGGATGTAACTATAAGAACTTTACTGCTTTGAAATGAATAATAAAATGTTTACCAAAATACTAATGAGGATGATCAAATCTAGCTAACAGGTAAAAGTTTATTTTCCTCCCTAAAGTCAGCTTCCAACTTAGATATAATTAATCACAGCAACTGTCAAATGTCTTTAGGCTTATCAAACTTCTAGACTCACCTATAATCATTGCTTTTCTGTATATTATCTATATTAGACTCTCCTTTAGTTTCATTCCTGATTTGGATAGTAATTGTGGAACTGTATTCCTCTGTCTCTTCCCTCTCTAGAGTCTGCTATACTCAATGAACAGATTAGATGATGGAATAGGAGACCAACGAGCCAAAGGAATACAACGTAAGCCTCTTTCAAAAGTGGAATATTTAAGAACACCCAAAGTTGAGAAAATATGCAAGAAAAAAAACCCACAGCACATGATGGTCCAGTGTTAAAATATGTGAATACATATTCAACTCAATAGGTAAAAAGGAAAAACGCAACAGAATCATAATATTTTTGAACTCAACATTTAACAGGAAAAAATCTTATAAATCAATACCCTATAAAATTTCAATTACATTCACATTCTTTATGGGTGGAGGTAAAGGATAGGAGGTCTTTAAGACTGGTAAACCTTTTATATAATTAAATAGTGTTTTATCTCTCCTTGGAAATTTTATATGCTAGCTTGGTTTGACATGAGTTACTTTCCTTTTTTCAGAAAGCACAATAAACCTAACAGGTTTTCACTTTAGGACAGGTCTCCTGACCCACCTTCAAAAATAAAACAAAACGTGTCAAAGACTAAGATTTTCCAGAGGATTATAGCAGAACTATTTGAGGCAGAAAGAATATTTAGGAAAAGGGAGAAATTTTCTTCTAACTGGTAAAGAGATGTATATTGAAAAGGGACTTTAATAGGAAGACCTGTAAACAATCATCTGGGTCTTTTCAGTGCAAGATCACTATTAAGAAGATAGAAGGGATAAGAATTAGCATTAATAGCACCATGCAGTGCTATCCATATTATTCATTTTATACTTTACATTTTCTCTGAAAGAATTGGAAAATTACAGATTGAAGTGGGTCATGAAAAAATAACATGGCCCCTGAGTTGAAAGCAGCTTCCTTATAGACTACTATTTAAACCTCAAATGACCATGTCTCACAGCATGCCCAATACAGTTCAGCATGTAACTGCATTTTAATTTCCTAAAACCACAGGATGTCAGTCTGATTTTAAGTCATGTCTGGGCTGTGATATTCAATACTGATAAAACTGTTAAACATTCTACTTGAACTGAAACTTTCAAATACAGAGGATATTAAGAATCTTCATGTTGTTCAAAGGATTCTCTTTTGAATAGTTTACTCATTACCCTACCCTGAATTTTTTTTTCAAAACTAAATTACGAAATCTATTACAGAGACTTAAATGAGAATCTCTAAAGAACTATATTTTATAAGTACTGCTATTAATCCATAGTAAATATCAATCAATAACCATTTATTAAGCACCTACTATACATCAGTCACTGTCCTAGGAGCTATGGGTATAAAGATAAAAATTAAACAGTCCTTGTCTTTAAGGAGCTTATATTCTATTACATATATACATACAAGTATACGCAAAAGAAATTCAAAGACATTTTTTGGAGGGAGGGAACTAACAGCTGGGTTATCGATAAGCAAAGGCTTCAAGAATTGAGTGCCATTTAAGTGACAAAGTGATCCACGAATCATTTCAATGGCATATTTGCATTTGACATAAAGAGTTATTTTTGATCACTTGGAGAAAGATGAGAAAAATTAATCATTAATATCAATGGATGTTCATCAAATTCCCCTTCAGTATGTGCCATTCAATTAATTACTGGGCTGAATTTTATGAACTGTTAAGTTGTGGTCTCCTATACTTCCAGATTCTATGTCAATAGGAAAGAAGGCCTAAATTTTATGGCTAAACTGAAAAGTTTAGAATGAAAGTCAATTCAAAGAGCTAAAAAATGTCCCAGAAACATGGGAGCTTGAAGCAAATTTTAAAAGGTACTGAATTTTAGATCCAGAAGTGATTTTACAGGTCAGTCTTTATAAGGAGATAGAACATGATTAAAAGAAACATTACTCATCAAGCTGTATACTCAAAGAAGATTGGTTCTGGTATAACCTTGACGGAAGCTGAGGGTGAGGCAAAGTACTCCTCTTCCTTCTACAATTTTATTGTTTTGGTTTTCCCTTGGACTTCAAATCTGGTTAGAACACATTTAACATAAGTTATTTTCCAAATAAGATCATTGTACAAGCAAGGAGAAAGAACAGGAACCATCCTTACCTAGAATTAGGTGATCAATACAAAGGGTTAAAAATCACAAACTTATTTTTAGAGGTAGCTGTGGTATAACAGAAAAAACACAGCATTTACAAGTCCAAAGACCTGACTTCATGTCCTAGTTCTAACATTCACAATCTGTGTGACCCAAATTACTTAATTTCTCCAAGTCTTAGTTTCCTCATTTGTAAAATGAGAATAGTTATACAGTTATATATATATATATATATAT